CTCTTAAAGCTCCTTGCTCAGAAAATACATACCCATCAACGTATTCCCTGGAAAGGAAGGATGCATGCATCCCTGTCTTCCTTCCTTCCTTCCTTCCTTCCTTCCTTCCTTCCTTCCTTCCTTCCTTCCTTCTTCCTTCCTTTCTTCCTCCCTCCCTCCCTCCCCCAACCCCTCCCTTTCTCTCTCTCTCTTTCTTTCATGGATGGAGCTGATTATTTAAAGTATACAAAGGTGTTGTACACATACATTATAACTTGTCTTTAAATATGTTTTGTTATCTCTACTTGAATTACTATTCTCTTCCATTTCCTAAATGTGTTTACTAAGTATATACCACAGCTTTTCTTCCCCTTATCCACTGTCATTTCATTATTCTATTTCTAGCTATTCAACCTTTGCCAATGCCTCTAACTTTATTTTATTAATAATAAATCCGTACTGCTCCAACCCAGAACTATTTCCTCATCTTGATGTTTATCCAGCCTCCAGCCCATTAAGATATGAGAGTGGGGGGTAGGACAGGAATTAAGTGGAACAATGAAGATGAAACGTGAGGCTATAGGGAGAGATGGGACACGGTGATGAGCAAACAGGGTCGGAAAGAAGGATGGAAGTGAAGGAAAGGACACAGGAGAGAATGGGAAGACAGAAGAAGTATATCTCTTTTCTGATACTCCCGGGTGTCCAGACACTTAAGGATCAGAGAACTTGGGTTTCCCTCAAAGGGCAAAGTTCTTGTGAACATGAACCAGGGATGTGGTCATCTCAACATTCCCATGCATCCACTGGTCTGTGATCTTGGAAAGTGCCTTACCATGGTCAGGCTTGTGTCTACCTGTACCGTAAGAGACTGGACAAGATTGTCTATCCACACGTCTTCACATTGAATGACCTCTGATCATAATAGTCTGAATGAACTTTTCCCTGGGTCTGAACGAACTTTTCCCTGGGTCTGAACACCTCAGAAGACATTCTGAGAGCATTACCACCACTCCGTCTACCCCGTGAGCAGCTGTCACTTGTCTGTGACCCCCACAGGTCCCAGCCTTGGCATTGCCTCCTTCTCAACATTCATCCCTCTCCTGTGTTCTGCCTGTCCTCCACCACCAAGGGGTTTCCTGAACAAGTGAGAAAGTTGTGTTTCCCTTGGGATTTCTGTCTTTGTGCTTCCCAGTGTACATATATTTATTTTAAAAATTATTCAGAATGTTACACCTAATAGTGGAAACATTGAAACGATATTATTTTGTCAAGTAGAAAATAAAACTCCAAATGTTCCTTCACTGCACCAAAAATCACACTACTCAGCGTTAACACCTCTTAAAATTGTTGTGTATTTTCTTCTAGAGATTTCCCGTATATATGATATGCCCATTTCATGTCAGTAGAACCATACTGTTGTGTGATCTGCTTCTTGTATTTCCTACGTTATGCAATACAATCTTTTACATAACAAAGATGAACATCCTGCTTTATCTGTTTTAATGGTGGCACAGTATATCATTAAACATATAAGCCACGGTTTATTTCATCAAAACTCCATTTATATAATTTGGGTTGTTTTCAATTGTTTTGTAATAACAACGTTGTGATGAACATCCTTACTGAGCTGTCTTATTGAGAAATAAAAATTGTACCTGTGCTATAAAGCATGTTTGGTAAATGTATGTATTGTGAAATGATCACCACAATCAAGCTAATTTACATATTCATCACCTCGTAGATGTTTTTTTGTGTATGTGATGAGAACATTTAAAATCTACTCTTAGCAGATTTCAAAGACATAATACATTATTATTAACTATAGTCATCATGCTGTACAACAGAGCTCCAGCACTTATTGCTTCTGCCTAATTGAAATTTTGTGCCCTTTGACAAGCATCCAAGATTATCCTTATTTGTTTTCCTCTTTAGGTCAAGTTGGTTTTTCATCTCTTGCCTTCTTTCAAGTTTTTATCTTTTCCTTCATGTTCTGAAGGAAAAGTTTATCATATTTCTACATGTAGATTATTTGGTATTTATCCCATTTTGTTATTCTCTGAGTTTCCTAGATCTGTGATTTGATGTCTGTTATTAATTTTGGAAAATTCTCAGACACTATTACTTCAAATATTTATTCTGTCTCTCTTTCTCTCTCTTCTACTTCTGGTATTACCATTATGTATATGTTACATCTTTCACAATTGTCCCACAGTTTTGGGATATTCTCTCATGGTTTTTGGATTTTTTTTTCTATTTGCTTTTCAGTTTGGGAAGTTTATATTGATATATCTTCAAGCCCTATAGGAATATTTTCAAGTTACAGATTATTTTTCCTCAGGCATGTCCAGTATACTGATGAGCCCATCGTCTTAGTCCATTTGGGCTGCTATCACAGAATACATGGACTGGGTGGGTTATAAACAGGAGAAATTTATTTCTCACTGTCCTGGAGGCTGGGAAGTCCAATATCAAGGTGCTGCCAATAGATCCGGGATCTAATGAGAGCCCACCTCCTGAGTCATAGGTGGCTGTTTTCTCATTGCATCTGTACGTGGTACAAAGGACAAAGGAGCTTTCTGGGGCTCATTTTGTAAAGCACTAATCCCTTCCATGAGAGCTCTGCTCTCATGACCTAATCATTTCCCCAAGGCCCCACCTCCAAATACCATCACATTAGAGATTAGATTTCAACACATGAGTTTTATGGGGGAAAACATTCATTCTACATACCCATCAAAGGTATTCTCCATTTTTGTTACAGTGTTTTGAATTTCTGGCATGTCCTTTTGATTCTTAAAGTTTCTGTCTCTCTGCTTACATTAATCATCTTACATGTGGTACACTTTTTCCGTGAGATCCCTTTGCATATTAATCACAGTTATTTTAAATTCTCAATCTGATAATTCCAAAATCTCTGTCATGTCTGATTCTGGTTCTGGTACCTGCTTTGTCTCTTCAGACTGTGTGTTTTACCTTTTAGCATGCCTTGTAATTTTTGTTGAATGCTAGACATCATGTATGGGTAAAGGGAACTATGGTAAATAGGCCTTTAGTGGGAAGTGTTCTTATGGTCAGAAGTTAGGCTGTGTTTACTGTTTGCTGTAGCTGTAGATATCAGTGGCTAAAATTTCCTCTACTGTCCTTGTTTTTATTTCCCCATTGTCTTTGGGTTTCTCTTCATATTCCTTTATAAATAGTATTGGAGCCTTGCCATTCTTTCCATTTTAATCCTGTCAGTATACAGGAGTCCTATTGATGTGGTGTTGGGATGCAGAGCCAGGGAAAGCATCCTATAATCCTTTGATTAGGTCTTCATCTAACTCAGGTCTCACATGAGTCTGTGCTCCTGCGCTGTTGCTTTCACGTGGTGAAACCCTGCCTCTACTAAAAATAGAAAAATTATCCAGGGGTGGTGGCAGGCACCTGGAATCCCAGCTACATTGGAGGCTGAGGCAGGAGAATCACTTGAACCCAGGAGGTGAAGGTTGTAGTGAGCCGAGATTGTGGCACTGGACTCCAGCCTGGGCGACAGAGCGAAACTCCATCTCTAAATGAATAAATAGCAAAAGAGAATACCTCTTGCAAAGCTAGTGCATGGAGGAGAGAGGGCCCAGTACTGGGCAGTGGCTGTGCAGTAGGGGAGGGAGTGGCATGGTGGAGGGGACGGAAGGAGGTATGCTCTCCTGCCCTAGGGGCTGTTCCCAGCCAGGGATGACTACTGCAGCCAAACAAAACAGACTCCTGGCATCGCTGCCCCCACCTGCCGTCCGCCCGGTGTGCCACCCGGGACAGGGTCTGTAGGGCCATGCAGGTGACTTTCTGTGTGTGTGAGAGAGGAGTGCCTGTCCAGTGGGAAGGGCCTCCCACGCCCTCCTGAACAATGCTGCAGGGTGACTCAGCCCAGGAGAGTCCGGGGAGGCTGCATCCGAATCCACCCAGTTCACAGGAGCCCTGCTGTCCACAGTGTGGGGGGCACGCCATGTACTTGGTGAGCCGGTGACCCGGCTTCAAATCTAGGCCCTGCCACGTGATAGCTGTGCGGCCTTAGGCAAACAGCCTCCTCCTGGGGCGCAGTGCCCTCACTGGTGGAAAGGTGCTGTGAGTTTCAAGGGAGACCCAGAGAGAGCTGGCTGGGAAGGTTAAGATCCCCGCGCATTAGTGTTACGACCAGGCAGAGACTGCTTCTGGACTTCCTGCTTCCGAGGGGAACCGTTTCTTCTGGTTTGTGCACTGCCTCATACTCTCGCCTGATTTTCTCAGTCAGTGTTGGAAATACCACGTGCTCCCCTCCTGCACAACGTGGTTAAGTCAGACTCAGTGATAGAACTGCTGGATGGGGACTGGGCGTGGTCACTCACACCTGTAATCCCAGCACTTTGGGAGGCCAAGGCAAGTGGGTCACCTGTGGTCAGGAGTTCAAGACCAGCCTGGGCAACATGGCGAAACCCTATCTCTACTAAGAATACAGAAGATTAGCTGGGTGTGGTGACATAGGCCTGTAATCCCAGCCACTCCAGAGGCTGAGGCAGGGGAATCACTTGAACCTGGGAGTTGGAGGCTGTAGTGAGTGGAGACCATACTACTGCACTCCAGCCTGGGCAACAGAGAGAGACTCCATCTCAAAAATTAAAATTAAAATTAAAAGGTGGACTGCGCACTGCTCCCCAGAAGTGAATTATTTCTATGGACGAACTCCCTTATTCCATCCCAGGCATCATGTCTGATCCTTGCATCAGCCAGATGGAAGGTGAGTGAGTGTCGTCAGCCTCATTTTACAGGTGACACTGGGGGCTCCAAGAGGCTACGCTTTGTCGAGGGTCACAAATAGGAAGCTCGCAGCAGAGTGAGGGCCAGCACCAGGGCTCCTGCCCGTCCCCTGGGGCCTGTAGGCACCGGGCCTAGAGCGCGGGACCTCACACCAGCAGGCACGGGTTCCCATGTTCCTCTTCCCTTACTGACTCTGTGACCCTAAGACAGACGTTTAAGCTTTGGATGACAATACTGCCTCCTTCATGATAATAACGACCCACAGCATTTATTATACAGCAATCAGCGTTCCAAGTGCTGAGCGCATTGTTAAGACTGAACCCTCACCACCATAGTGGACACCACCATCATTCCCATTTCACGGATGAGAACACTGAGTCACAGAGAGGTTTCTGCGGCTCGCCAAGGTCATCAGGCTGATAGGAGGCAGTGTTGGGATTTGAACCCTGGTGATCTGGCTCAAGTCTGTGCCGTCAGCCCAGCGGCCCTGCCGCCTCACCTGAGGCTGCTGTGAGGCCAACAGCGGCCAGGTGTGGGGTGTGCCAGCCCAGCACGGGCCAGCTGTGGCTCCGCTCCTGTTACTAACCCCTGCGAGGCCAGGTGCTCTTCCTCCCGCCCTTTCTTCTGACCTTTGCTTTTCTGTGGATTCTGTTTTCCTTGTTTCTCTAGGGGATCAAGCTTGAAGAGCAGAAGCCAGGACCCCAGAAGAACAAGGTGGGCTGGGTGGGTGAGGGGGCGGCCAGATGGCCCTGGTGAGGGGCCAGGGCGAGAGGAAGGCAGGAGGAGCTGCCAGGTGCTGGGGTCTTCCGTCTCACACCCTCTAACTCTGACCTTCGCCACGGCCCCTGAGTGACTGTGCCCTTGTTAGCCTAGTGCAGGATGGGCAGCAAAGGGGTCCTGGCTCCATGCCTTAGGGCAGCTTCTGAGCAGACTGGGGGAGGCCTCAGTGGGAGCTCAGGCTTGGCCGTGTGGCCTGGCTCTTCCCTGTCCTGTACAGCGTGAGGCTGTCAGGCTATGTCCTGGGTTCCAGGGGGCAGTCGGCTCTCAGCTTCAGGTTCCATTTCCAAGCGCAGGGGTGCCGCTTATGCCTTGGAGGTCAGACCCCTTGCCTAGAGACGAGCGCTGGGTGAGACCAGGGGTCGTTTTCCGGAATTGGCATTCTAGGATGAGGAGCTGGTATCACGGGCGGTGAGAAGTTCAGCGCCTTCGTCTATTGCATCATCAGCTGGCAGGGTTTATGTTCGGGTTCTGTCAGTTTGGACAAGAACATGGTGGATGTCCGATCCCAGAGCTGCTTCTGAGCTGTTCTTCCACTGACTGTGCCTCCCTCAAAGCCCCAGGCAGCCTGCTAAGCCCCCACGGCAGACCCCCTTGCTAGGCCTGGAAACAGCGCTCAGACTCCATGAGCGCTGCCGGGACTCGCGGTGACGTCCCCTGGTTTGTCTTGCAGGATGACTACATCCCGTACCCCAGCATCGACGAGGTAGGCACCCCCCCCCACTCCCACCTGCTCTGCAGCCTGCGCTGGGTCCCGTCCCTGGGAAATGAGGGCCATGGGCTGTGCCAGCCCCACAGGGGAGAGAAGCTGGGGCCTGGGACCTCCTTCTGTCTTTGCCGTTGTAACCTCAGCTTTTCCATGTGGAAGTTGGGGGTGCTCATCTCGGCCTTGCCACCCTGGGGCTACAGGGTTGGTGAAGGAAGCTGGAGAGGCTGTGGGGCTTAGAAGAGGGGTTCATGTTACTGCCTTTGGCCTCAGGTACCCGTGGGTACCAGGCCCTCTCCTGGGAGCAGCACGGAGGTAGTGGGGACACGGCCACTGGCCCCCTCTCCGCTGCGGTCCCAAAGGCCGGCTGCAGTGCGAGGCCCTCCCTCTGCCTTCAGGTTGTGGAGAAGGGAGGCCCGTACCCTCAGGTCATCCTGCCCCAGTTTGGGGGCTACTGGATTGAGGACCCGGAGAACGTGGGCACCCCAACATCGCTGGGCAGCAGCATCTGTGAGGAGGAGGAAGAGGACAACCTCAGCCCCAACACATTTGGCTACAAGCTGGAGTGCAAGGGCGAAGCCAGGGCCTACCGCAGGCACTTCCTAGGGAAGGTGAGGCTGGGGACCTGGGGAGAGGGGCTGCCGGGGTGGGGGAGGGCAGGGTGCCCTGGGGTCCTCTCTCCAGGGCCTACCGCAGGCACTTCCTAGGGAAGGTGAGGCTGGGGACCTGGGGAGAGGGGCTGCCGGGGTGGGGGAGGGCAGGGTGCCCGGGGTCCTCTCTCCAGGGCCTACCGCAGGCACTTCCTAGGGAAGGTGAGGCTGGGGACCTGGGGAGAGGAGCTGCCGGGGTCGGGGAGGGCAGGGTGCCCAGGGTCCTCTCTCCAGGGCCCCCTTTTCCTTTGCCTCTTACCTCCTTCCCAGTCTGCTTTCGTTTCTGCCTGCTGCTGTCTCAGTTGCAGGGTCTGATGGGCTGTGTCCTGGGATAGGGGACGGGGCAGGGGGGCCGTGCACAGTCGGGGGGCCCAGTGCAATGAGTCCTTGTGCCGCGCTGGTGGGTGGGGGGCAGCTCCAGCCAAGGTCTTCCGAGTCCCGGACCCTCAGGTGCCGCTGCACCTGCACCCACAGTAAACAGATTCTGGGTGACCGTCTAGAAGACTCGAGCTGCTGCTGACAAGTCGATGTGCCAGTTTTCGTATGCATTGAAAGAAATATTTAGTAATTTCAACTTTGCACTTCTAGTATTTTGAAGCTAGCAATACATTTTCTTTTCCTTCAGGATCCAAGCGTGTTATTAATCCTTGAAAAGCCTGTAAGCCCAAGGCACAGGTGCCTGCAGCGCCTGGTGCATAAAACTGTTTCTCCCAACCATCTCAGCGCGCACGCTGCAGGTTTTCATGAAATCGCTGGGTTCTGACTCATGCGAAACAGGCCAGTGGCTACTCAGACCCCGGCAGAGCCTGCCCAGCCTTGCTGCCAAGGCCCAGACCTGGGTCCTGTTGAATACACACACCCAGATAAAAGGTGAAGCCACACATCAGAATGGGAACAGTGAGGGCTCCAGCTGAACCGTCAAAGTGATCGTAGAATTTGTTGTATGAGCCAGCCCGGGTCTAGTCATGAGGACTTGCATCAGGAGGCAGGGGGCAGTTGGCGGTGCCACGTTGGCAGCCTGGCAAAAGCTGCTCCAGCAGCGTCGCTTGCTCTATTTGGGTCACTGCTGTGTTTCTCTGAACTGTGAAAACCACAAAGTTAACACAGAGCCTTATTGCTATGTCTAGGTCATTTGACCTCGTACATTCTATGATCTCACGTGGAGACACAGACAGGCTCAAGCCGCTGGGCCGGAAAATCTGTGGAGGAAAGATGGACATCTGAAAGGATACACTTCCCCACTGTCGCCCGTGGCTGCTGTGATGTCACAGTGGACGTGAGAAGTGGAAGGGTGTAGACGAATTTTATTAATTGATTGATTGAGACAAAGTCTCCCTCTGTTGCCCAGGCTAGAGTGGCACAATCTCCATTCACTGCAATCTCTGCTTCCTGGGTTCAAGCGATTCATCTGGTTCAGCCTCCCAAGTCGCTGGGATTACAGGCACCTGCCACCACTCCCGGCCAGTTTTTGTATTTTTAGTAGAGACGGGGTTTCGCCATGTTGGCTAGGCTGGTGTTGAACTCCTGACCTCAGGTGATCCACTCGTCTTGGCCTCCCAAAGTGCTGGGATTACAGGTGTGAGCCACTGTGCCCAGCCTTTTTTTTTAATTATCATTTTACTGTTGACAGTATGCTTTTTAAAAACTAATACGCAAGCAAAAATTTAAAAAAATAAGAAAAAAATCAAGAAAATGAAAATAAAAAAATAAAAATGAATAAAAACTAATACACCAAGTGTGGTGACTTACGCCAGTAATCCCGGCACTTTGGGAGACCGAGATGGGCAGATCACGAGGTCAAGAGATCAAGACCATCCTGGCCAACATGGTGAAATCCTGTCTCTACTAAAAATACAAAACTTAGCTGGGCCTGGTGGTACCAGTTACTCAGGAGGCTGAGGCAGGAGAATCACTTGAACTCTGGAGGTAGAGACTGCAGTGAGCCAAGGTCACACCACTGCACTCCAGCCTGGGCGACAGAGTGAGACTCCATCTCAAAACAAAACAAAAAACAACGGAAACTAATACATACACATGAAAAAAATACAAGCCGTGTAATGAATAATTAGCGATAAGTCTCCTGGTCTAGCAGGCGAGAGTCAGCTCCGGTCCCTGTTTCCATGTCCGCGGGGAAATGCTAAGTGTCTTCAGCGTCCCTCACAACATAGTCTACGAAAATAGGCACTCAGCACACACTTCTTACTGTTAACTCTCTGCATATTTGCATTGTTTCTGCAGGCAAGGTGATTAGAAAGCCAATTAAAACACGTCAGTGGCCGGGCGCGGTGGCTCACGCCTGTAATGCCAGCACTTAGGGAGGCCGAGGCGGGTGGATCACGAGGTCAAGAGATCGAGACCATCCTGGTCAACATAGTGAAACCCCGTCTCCACTAAAAATACAAAAATTAGCTGGGCATGGTAGCGTGTGCCTGTAATCCCAGCTACTCAGGAGGCTGAGGCAGGAGAATTGCCTGAACCCAGGAGGCGGAGGTTGCGGTGAGCCGAGATCGCGCCATTGCACTCC